ATCACATTGGCACGAAGCTGAATATTGCAGATATTGCGAGCAGAGGAACGTCTGTAGCTGATATTTCCGCTGATTCAACCTGGATTCAGGGACCAGAGTTCTTAAAGTCTGAGTTCTCTGAGTGGCCTGTTGATAAAGTTGCAGTTGATTTTCCAGAGCCAAGTCAAGCGGAGTTGAAGAAATCGGTTTTGAAGGCAAAGGTCGCACCAGCGAAGCCACTTATTGATCCTGCCGCGTATTCTAGCTGGATCAAACTCACCCGAATAACCGCATGGATATTTCGCATGTGTAACAATCTGCGCAACAAAGGGAAACGAATATCGGGACCGTTGACTGTGGACGAACTCGATAATGCTAACTTGTACTGGATTAAATGGGGCCAGAGCGATCGCTTCCAAGACGAAATCGAAGCGTTGAGAAAGGGTCGTCCGGTTCCACGAGATAGTCGTATTGCAAGTCTCGATCCCCAACTCGTGGACGGTGTTTTACGGGTAGGCGGCAGAATCGAAAAGGCGGAAATTCCGTGGGAGTCGAAGCATCCAGTTATATTGGACCACGGACATGATGTCACCCGGTTGATCGTGATCCACTACCACCGAAAACTTATCCACGCGGGAGTCGAACATGTCTTTAATCACGTACGTGAAAAATACTGGATTTTGCACGGTCGAGCCGAAGTTAAGAACTGTACAGTTAAGTGCCCACTATGTTTTCGCCGTCGTGTTAAACCTATGACGCAGAAAATGGCTAATTTACCGAATGTACGTCTCGCAGGCGCAAGTGTTCCTTTTCGACACGTTGGGATTGATTATGCCGGACCGTTTGATACTCGAATTGGACGCAATCGAAAGGAAAAACGCTATATTTGCTTATTTACGTGTCTCCATATGCGCGCGGTTCATCTCGAGGTCGCACATAGTTTGGACACTGACTCGTGTATAATGGCGTTGCGACGATTTCAAGCTCGTAGAGGAGTCCCTGTTTGTATAATGAGTGATAATGAGACAAATTTCGTAGGTGCCGAAAGAGAGTTGCGCGAAGCGTTGTAAGATCTGGATCAAGAGAAAATCTCGAATGAGTTAACAGCACGTGGAGTACGTTGGATCTTTAACCCGCCTGCTGCCCCATGGTTTGGAGGTGCCTGGGAAGCGTTAGTAAAGTCTGTCAAACGGGCATTGAAAGTTATGCTTGGGAATGTTCTCACAGTCGATGAAGTTTTCCTTACTGTCATTGCCGAGGTAGAAGCGATGCTGAACTCTCGTCCGCTTGTCTATGGTGGAAGCAGTGATTCACCAACAGATCTCAGCGTGATTACACCAAACCACTTCTTGCATGGTCGTGCGAGTTCGAACGTGTCGCCCGGCGAGTTTAACCACCGAGATATGTCGTTACGTCGAAGATGGCGTCATAGCCAGTTCTTAGCGAACCAATTCTGGCGCCGATGGTCGAATGAGTACATTCCGCAGTTAATAAAGCGAAGCAAATGGAATGTTGCACACAGAAATCTACGTCGCGGTGATCTTGTCTTGATCGTTGAGAAGGACGTACCTCGTTCGCATTGGAGGCTCGGAAGAGTGATTGCACCGATCGCAAGTGAAGACGGACTGATCAGATCCGCGGAGATTGCAACGAAAACTGGAACATTGACACGTCCTGTAGGACGGTTAGCATTACTGGAAGCTTTAATGATGAGTAACGTTCCCCCCGTTCACGTCACGGGCGGGGGTGTTTTGGACTTTGTCCAGTTTATTATATAGTTCATGTTAATTTATTATGGTAATAGACTTTTGTCCAGTAACATTGAAAATAGAGAGGTCAGAGGACAGAACGAACACAAAACGTTTTGAGAAACAGAGTTTTTTGCTGTAAAATGTTGAGTTGTACTAAATAAATATATGAAAACCTCATGGTTAATGAAAATTACACGCCGTCTATAACAATATGTACATATATTATACATCTGTAACTATGATGCAGGGTGGGCATGTAATCTCCTGACTCTATGTGCCATGTGATAGAATTCCAATCAAACTTCAACTTACATTAAATCTGTAGCCAATAATTAATGAGGCTGCTTCCATACATGATGGTGGGACAGTGGCTGGTACTCTAAAATTTGAACTACAGTACCGTACCTATGTAAAATTTGAACTACAGTACCTATGTTGTTAAGATCGAAATACGAGACAAAATCCAAGAGGCTGAAAATGAGACAATGACCCGAAAACTATTTGACATTCTATATGGGAATGTTTCAGCTAATCTGAAGCTTTGGATACACGAGCAATATTTTTGCTGCGATGGTTACGCAATGGGTGATGACAGCATTGCGTTGCCCTCGCACAAGGTGGCTACACCTGCAATATTTCACTTGCAATATATGTCTTCAACTTTTCATAACGCTTTTCATTGGCTGGTCAAGAAACGTGTCATTCATCAACCTTGACCACACCTCCCAATTTTCGGCAATCATTGCCGAAAATCAAATGATTTGAAATTTCGGCAACGATTGCGCGCAGCTTTGCGTTACCGCCGCAGAGCATGATACACAAGCAATTTCTTTCTCGCGACGGCAATGCAACGATTTTACCACCATTGCATTGACATCGCCAGAAAAGTATTGCCCGTGTATCCGTAGCTTTAAGAACAGAGTTCAGTGGTATGTCACAAATGATTTACTTGTTAACAATGCCACAGCGATTAAGTTTAATCCTTTTGGATTTGACCCAGTAAAACCATATACGAGTTGTCCTGCTAATCATGCGACTACTGGACAGAGTGACAATCCAGGCGATTTTCCACGGAAGTTTTGTATTTCTTGTCCGTTACACACCTATAAACATTTTTATGCAGCCATTATTATTCTGCATGTGAACAGTGCCCTTCAAAGAAACGTCGTCTGCTCAATGAGTCCATGTGTGTTAACGGCACAAAAGTGTACCCCCAAACATTCAACTGACGTAAACTGTCGGCTACACTTCTGCGCCCTTGGGAAATTCTTTAATAACGACTCTGGTATTTGCGATTGGTGTGATTACGGTTACTTCCAAAATTTAACAACTGCTTTAAACCCAGTTTGCCATCGCTGTCCAGCTGGCAACACAACAGCCTTCGTTGGAGCAAGAAACGAAATCGATTGCATGCATAAATGTCGTAAAGGACAGTTTACAAAGTCTCCTTCTTGATTTGATTGTGGTATTGGATATTTCATACCTTACGACTTACGAGGGAAACCGATTTCCCAAATGCTAAAAGTGTCCACCGAGGAATACAATGTGGGAACTGCAAATAGAAGAACTGGCTGTGTAGATCAATGTACTATAGGGGAATATTTCAATATTACCCAAGGTATGTGTGGTATGTGCTAATAACACATACCAAAATGAAACAAAATCTACTAAAACACAAAGTTGTAAAATGTGTCCGATTAACAGACTAACGTTATCGACAGGAGCTATGTCTGTAAATTCATGTCTTGGTCCTTGCTCAGCAGGCCAATATCTCAATACTACATCCCGAAGTTGTAAATTGTGTCCTGTAAACACTTACAAAGACGAAAATCAAACCAGTTTTATGTGTAAAAAATGTCCAGAACATAAAATCACACAAAACAATGGTTCGACCAACATTTCTCAATGTATTTATCCTTGTGATGAAGGAGAATTTTTCAACCTCACGAGCGAAGCATGTGAGATGTCCCCCAACAATACCCATCAAAACAACATTGGATTCATACAAGGTTCATACAAGTTTTGTACTGGAAAAATGTTTACATTGAAACCTTGTTCAAAAAATGCATTGCCCCTTGAAACCGTGGGGAATTTCTCAACAAGTCTGCCGAGGCGTGCGAGATTGTCCAGTCGGATTTTTTGGATCCGCAGGAAAATGTGTCAGTTATTGTGCGTCATTACCCTGTCTTAATGGAGGCGAGTGTAGCATCCTTGACAATGATTTCAACTGTACATACTTGTCTGGAACATCTCGGAGGAAAACAATGCCAGACTATCCTTGATCACAATAATGCAGACAGGATGGAAATTTCAGTCAGATTCACCAACTTAGTGTGGAATAACAACCTCAGTAACCCTGATACCAGAGACTGTATGGAACTAGCCAATACAGATACAGATATTTCACAGCACACTCCCTATATCAGGGCTTTTCAGTGACTGGTTACATTATGAATAGATAGATAGAACCGGACTGACGTGAAGCAGACCGAGGTAGACTTTGAGCTTACAAATGGCGCTTGAGCAGCTGCCGCTATTAGTCCATACCTCATTAATGATCCGTATGAGGTGATATAACAAACGACGCAACATTCCGTACCATCAAAGTGGAGAAATTCACCCAAGGAAGTGTGATTAGTGATCTGGCATTTAATTACGTTACTGGCACAGATTTTAATAACTCATTAGACACCTTAACGAGAGCTGCTACCGATGGCAAAATTGGTGACTTAACAGTGGATTTATCTTCGTTTTACATTTATCATTTATAGACCTGGAGCGAGGGGGATTCGGCGTAATATTACCCGAAGTGATGATATTTCCGAAAATATAATGATATTTTTTTCTATTATAGCGAAAATTAAACGCCTCCAAGTTGAGAATTAAAAACTTGACAGTCATATACCTTCGTGAATACGATGTTTTATTTTCGGATTAATTAACGCAAGTATCGTCGCTTTTCTTTCGAATCACATATCGTTTGGAATATTAATGACAACATTTTTCAAAATTTGCTTCGAAATTTTGAAAAAGCCCCAGGTTTTACATCATTTACCCAGATTATTCATCAATACTGTTTATATTTTGTCGGCCATGTTGTCGTCATGCGTGTTGTCTCGCGTGGTCTACGCGAATAATGTTCCACCCCATGGTCTCCGGGGATTACGCCAACATTGTCAAAAGGAACGCAGGCTCGCTAATTGATGACGTAAGGCGTGATATCGCGATTAATTTCATGCTCACGTGGCACAAACTAAGCTTCTTGATTGGACAATTTGAATTTGAGGTATAATATTGTTAATTATACCTGCGGGACACCCCTTGGAATGGAGAACGGTCGTATTCCTGACAGTGCAATTACTTCTGCAAACAAAGATTTCAAATGCTCGTTTGAATCATAATGGCCTGGGCGGAGTCCGCAGGTGAATGATTTTGAAGAGGCATATCTACAAGTAGATTTTCAGGTTGTCCAGTTAACAGGCATTGCAACCCAAGGGTCGTCATACCAAGGTGGTAACTGGTTAGAGTCTTATCACTTCAATTATAGTTTTGACGGCAGTACATGGCTGGAGTATAAAGAAGAAACAAACCAACCTAAGATAAGTTTTTCCATGTATTGTTGTGAAGCTGTTGAATGTTTTGTACTCATTAGCCTAAGTGCCAGCACTCTCCCCTTGATGAGTAAAATCATCTGCCCTACTTTATTTTAAACTGTCTAAAGCTCATTGGGGCGCAATGTGACTCAATGGGTTAAAGGCACAGCTCAGCTTTTAAATGATGGTTATTAAGGCGCATTTTAGCCCTTTTAATTGAAAAAACTAACTAGGAAAATCAATTAAGCATAACTCAAGATCAGCAAGCTTAATGTTTTTAACAATTTATAACATCTTTATTGTTAAAACCATTGAGTTTACTAATCTTGAATTATGCATAATTGATTTTCCTAGTTGGTTTTTTCAATTAAAAGGGCTGAAATGCATGAGCCTTAAAAAACATCATTCAAAAGGCTGAACTGTGCCTTTAACTATAGGCATATAGGTAGATAGTCTGATTAACCCATTGAGTGCCAGGCTGAGCACTCTTCCTTGATGAATAAAATCATCTGAGTTAGACAGAGTAAAATAATAAAGTACGGCAACATTGGGGAACAATGCATCATTAATGGGGTTAACAAATCATTTTATTATTCTACATCTTACAAAAGATCACTTTTATATATTGCAGGTTTTTAGTGCAAACTCAGATGTGAATACTGTCGTACAAAAAACCTTGAATTATCCAGTGAGAACAAAATATGTGAGAATTATTCAAAATGTTACGTCAGATAATCTCAGCTATCGTTGTGAATTTTATGGTTGTCCGATACCACAACTCTTGTTTCACCTCGCTCGTACTGATGTCCCAAACCCTGCAACACACATGCCAGCCACCGATGTCCCTACAACACGTATGCCAGCCACGGATGTCTCTACAACCCGTATGCCAGCCACTGATGTCTCTACAACACGTATGCCAGCCACTGATGTCTCTACAACCCGTATGCCAGCCACTGATGTCTCTACAACACGTATGCCAGCAACTGATGTCTCTACAACCCGTATGCCAGCCACTGATGTCTCTACAACACGTATGCCAGCCACTGATGTCTCTACAACACGTATGCCAGCCACTGATGTCTCTACAACACGTATGCCGGCCACTGATGTCTCTATACAACACGTATAGCAGCCACTGATCTCTCTACAACACGTATGCCAGCCACTGATCTCACTACAACAGATACGTCAGCCACTACAAGATCCTCAACCAGATCAACAGGTTTGTAACAAATTATTACCAAAACGTCAGATAGCTCGTCTCAGCACAATTTCCAACTGAAAGCAAAATGGTGAAGAGAAAAGGCATGCTGGAGAGGTGAGTTAGTCATCAAGTGGAGGTGTGTTAATCATCCTTATTTGCAACATATTCTCTGGGGACGGAGAAAAACCCACGACTTTCTGTAGACTGTCGGCTGACACGAAAGTGCAAAAAAAAAGAAAAAAAAAGTCCGTAGCTAGAATCGAACCAACAATCTCCGAGGTGAAAGGCGCTTTCTCTGAAGATTGAGTGCTACTGAAATATGGGTTTTTTAAAACCAGTTGGAGGACTTGTTTTGAGAGGGTGGCTTAATAGAAGATCTACGTTATATATTGGAGGTACAGCTCCTCCCTTTAGCATAGTCTACATCCAAGAATATAATATAATCTTTCTAACATGATTTCTGTATATAGGCACTGGCGGCAAATCAGATGATGATGATAGTAATATTGGCCGTATAGTTGGTTTTTCTGTGGGTATATCCTGGCTGCATTTATACTCATTGGTATTGCAGCTTGGCATTTTAAAAAGAAGAAGAAGCATTCACATTCGTTTGGAAGTAAAAATGATATTCCAATGAATTAAATTGTGTCTTGATCGAGTTAAATTCATGATTTTAAGGTGAGGTAAGGTAAGGTAAGGTAAGGTAAGGTAAGGTAAGGTAAGGTAAGGTAAGGTAAGGTAAGGTAAGGTAAGGTAACTTTATTTATCCACGGTGTACTCATCAGGATTAAGATCACATACATATATATATATATATAAATAAATCTACAGAATTATGCATAAAACTAATAACACACTACTTACAATATAAATAACACAATATATAAATACATACTAAGAAATGGCAAAAGAAAAACCTGCTTTAATTACATGAGTGCCGTGCATTAATTTATAGGTATTACAATCGAGAAGAGAGAAATTTATTACAGCCAGATCGAAACGAATTTAGAGAATTAGCTTGCCTCAACTCAACAGGAAGGCTGTTCCATGTTACTGCACCACTATAACTAAAGGAGTTTCTTACGTAGTTAGTACGAGGAAAAGGAACAGCAAGTTTGCCAACAGTGTCCCTAAGAGAATAACCCGAAACACAGCTACGATCAACAAATTTTGAATGAAGATATTCAGGAGCCAAACCATTTATCGACTTATACACCATAATAGCCTGATGAATTTGGCGCTGTGTTTCAAGGTTTTCCCATCCAAGGTCTTGAAGAAGACCATCAGCATTAGTATCATAGCCGGAAAATGTTAAAACCCTAGCCGAACGGTTTCGTAACTTCTGCATTTTCGTAGCAAGAGTTTTATTACAATTCCCCCACACAACACTGCAATAGTCAAAATGTGGTTGAATTAGTGAATGAAAAATAGTATGCAGAGTTGTACGAGGAACAAAAGGACTGCCAGAGGCGATTTTCAATGCCAGAGGCGATTTTTTTGGAAATGGCATCAACATGAACAGACCATGAAAGATGCTCATCAATGTGAAGGCCCAGAGACTTGGTTGATTTTACCTGTTGGATAGGAGCCCCTTCGATTGTAAGTACTGGAGCATTATCAAACGTATAAAGTTTCTGTCTCGAACCTAGCTATCACCATAAATTCAGTTTTGGACCTGTTCAGTGTTAATTAATTAACAATAAGCCACTCACGAATACTCTCAAGATCATTAGTGAGATTAAGTTCGATTTTAGCGATATCATTATCCGCATATGTCAAGTGAGTATCGTCTGCAAACATACGAGGCTGTGAATGTGAGAGGCAATTCGGCAAATCATTTATATACAATAAAAATAATAACGGCCCTAGTATTGTTCCTTGAGGAACACCACATGTTAATGAGCGGGTTTTCGGATAGACACCCAATTACAAAACACTTTTGGTGACGACCATTCAAATAAGACTCAAACCATTTGTGTATAACACCTCTAATACCGTACGCATTAAGTTTAGATAATAAGATATCGTGATCTACCGTGTCAAAGGTCTTCTTTAGGTCTAGAAAAACAACGGCATTCACACAACCGCTGTCAATATTATATGCCCAATTATCCGTAGCCTCCAATAAAGCGGTGGCAGTGGAGTGAAGGCCGCGAAATCCAGACTGACAATTTGAAATCAAGTTATACTTGTTAATATAAGCCAATACTTGATCGTATACAATTCGCTCACAAACTTTAGCAACAACCGGAATAATCGAAATAGGTCGATAATTGTTCAACTCAGAGTGACTCCCATTTTTAAATAAAGGTATAACTTTACAACACTTCCATTCATCTGGAAATACAGCAGTAGAAATGGAGCAATTAAAAATCAAGCAAAGGGAGTTCGAAATGAGGTCAGCGCATTCACGCGTAAGAGTCTAGCAGAGATTTTGTCCACACCAGTTGCTTTGGATTTGCTAAGCCTATATATAACAACGAGAAAACTTTAGAGTTATTTGTTTATTCTAACTGAAAGGGTTCATGGTCATGTATATGACTACTGAGATAATATAGGAGAGAGCGATTGTTTACGCTAGTCGAAATTTCATCAGCCAGTTTTGGACCAACAGTGACAAAGTGGTCATTAAAGGCTTCAGTGAGATCCGACGAATCAGTTATTGACACGCCTTCGCATTTTATCTCGTTAATTAACAAAGGAACTTTTAGATTTTCTTGATGTAAGTTCATTTATAACTCCCCATATTTTGCGCGGATTGCTTACACACTCACGAAAAGCCTCTTTGTAATATCTTTGTTTAGCCAATTTTATTTCATTGTTCACACTATTACGACAGTTTTTGAAAGCACGCCAATCGATCGGATCATTTGAGCGAATTGCTTGAATCTTTAAAACATCTCTTCTGTGCATGCATTGTTTCAAATGAGACGTAATCCAGGGTGACTTAAAGGAACCAACACGCTTCGTCCGAATAGGAGCATGCTTGTCAGCGACATTCAAAAACATGTTTCTCCAAATATGCCACATGCTATTAGGATAATTAAGTTCACTAATTGAGTTCCAGTCTTAAGAAGAAATGTCATGGCGAAAGCTAGCGGAATTAAAATTTTTAAATTTTCTGTAAGTTACAGTTGATCGAATGATGATTAATAGATAAACCAACTGCAAGTTTGCGAAAAACATAAATAAGACTATGATCACTAATGCTGATGTGGGAGACACCGCGGAGCAAACCACCCTAGTAGGAGAATTAGTAAAAATTAAGTCAATGATAGTAGAAGAAAAGCTAGAAGCGCGAGTTGGTTCACTGATAAGTCGCTGAAGGCCATAAACATCGGCAATATCGGTTAAGCGACGCGAATTATTGTCCAGATTAGAAGCAATTACAGTAGGTTAGCGTTCATATCACCCATAATAAAATACTCCATGCAGGCCCTCAGCATCCATATCTTACTGACAAGTGCCTCAAAGCAATTGAATTTATCAACACTAAAATCTGGTGGGTTGATATACCAACTAGCAACGATGTAGTTAGATTTAATATGTTACTTGCTTATAGCTAAGACGGTGAGACCCGTTTAATTCATATGCCATACTTCACATATGCTGAATTCAATTGTTTTTGAAAAACGACAGTAACCATTTTAATTATGCTCATTATCAAATAATCGTCGTCGGTACTGAGAGGCATGGCACGATTTAGCCATATGTTGGACATTGTCCGACCAGAAAAATCGACAAATATCCGACTAACGACCTGTCAGCTAGGTGTGAAATAATGTGTGAAATAAACAATAACAGTATATTAAACTAGCGGAAAATTCACAAAAACAGTGAACAAAGGTTTACAATAACTACAGAGAATGAATTAACCATTGTTTCACAGTAGTTATTTTATAAATTTAAACAATCACTGAATGTTTCTCTCATGCAGAATAGCGTGATCATGCACTTGAGATGTTTCTCAACTTCTGGAAAGCGTAAATCGCAATCCTGCACAGAAAACCATTCAGTATTCCTTTACTGCAGTTACTGCAGGGGGTTTTAAAGATAAAGCATTAAAGAAATAGAAGAAATCGACATTTAGCAATATAATGCAACTTAGAGAAAGCAAACATACTTGACCATCAACTTCACTGAGTCCATTCTCAACACCATTAGTATGAAAACCATTATTGTGACAATGTTCAGTACCATTTGTCACACCATTTTCAATATGACCATTTTCTACACAATCCTAGGATTGAAAGTTTAAGAATATTATATATCGTCCAGAGCAGAATTTGTATATATTTACTAGACTTACTGTAACCAGGAGCAGCAGGGGACTGAAGCCCAAGTCTCTCGGGGAGTAATTCCATGCCATTTCAACACAAAAAAACCCAACTGATTTGACACCCACCCTCTCCAAATTTCTTTATATTTCGCAGGCAATTAACATTATGTGGGAATAGTTTAAGTTCAAAATTTGAGCAACATAGCTGCAACAGTTTTTGAGATATCGCAATTCGAAATATGGCCCGAAAAGAAAAAAGTGGGCGTGGCCAATGCTAAATTCACCATTACCCTATTTTCCATTACCCTGATCATACCCGTACATGGTATATCCATCAAAGTTTGCACAAAGATGTATTTGTATGTGGAGATTTCAAATATTGCACTTTCATCTTTGTATCTGCAACCAGTAATGTGTTATGGCACAGCAAAAAGTCTAATTATGTGTTTCTGAAGACACGAAATATACATCATCTTTATTGGAAAATTTTTTATGGAAGCCATACGTCGTGTACTCGTGTCAGCCATACGTTTCAACGGAAACTCTTAAACATCTTTATCGAGCTTTAGTCCAACCACACTTTGATTACTGCTCGATGATTTGGGGCAACTGTGGCGAATCTTTAAGAGGCAATCTTCAGAAACTCCAAAACTGAGCTGCAAAAATTATTACGGGTGACTAATATGAAATACGCTCCATAGATATTTTAAAGAAACTAGATTGGAAAACGTTAGGTGAAAGAAGGACGGAACAACAACTAAAATATGTATCAAAAGCACTTAGATGCAAATTTCACGATAACATTTCGGACATGTTTATAAACTATATAATTCAGATCGATATGAATTAAAAAATAACAAAAATAAGTTGATGTTGTTGAAGCCAAAAACAAATTCAGTGAAACGAACTTTCGGTTACGCTGCCGCTAAAGTTTGGATTGAAAGAAATAAAATTTTTATATAGTTTTATCTGGGTGGGGTTGGAGTGAATAATAAACTTTCAATGTCTTTCTAATATTATTTGGGTGGTTCGGGGAGGGTGGGTGCATGGGAATCTCTTATACTGTCTGTAAGTACACGGCCTAGTGAAAAGTAACGACAACCTTGCTAATATTTTTTCAGTTGATTAGCTACCGTGTTACAAGATGTTTTTAATAAAAAGTAAATAAAAAATTATAATCGGAATAGGACCGATTTTTGCTTATCGGTAGACAATCGGAATCGGTAGAATAATTTGTATTTTCTGATTGTGTAAAACTGATGTTGAGAAAATACGCACTTTAAAAATCATATATATTGCGCGGTGATACACGTTGAATGCACTTTTTTTATGTGAAAACAACAACTGTTTAATCTCTTGCGCGAACGGTAGCTTGTTGCATAGTAGGTGTGGAGCAAACCGTTGCCGCGACGAAATAATACGTGAAGTGTGTCATTTATGTCCAGGTTTAACGAACCTTGGTTGCTACTAGTAACATGTTACGTTGTAAATTATCATTATAAATCTCGAAATGGATTATGACGTCATAGAAAATCAGAATCGGGTAGATTATTGGATGAATAATTGATAATAATCGATCAATCACTAATATTTGTTGTGTTTCGGATGAGAACATTATTTCTAACATTGGCGTTCCAACAATAGTCACTGAGAGGCAGTACAAACTGCAGCCTAAAGACCAAGAAGTCTTACGCACATTCATGGATAAACAGTAGTGATCTCTATATATACTGCATCGATTTTGATCAAAGGCAATTTGATACAAGAAATAACAGTTACTCTTGGAGAGCATAATGTACTATTAAAAAAAATGATAGAATCAAACATTAAGGTATTTGGCAGTCTCATTTCTCAATGGATGTATTTTATTCTGAACAAACACCCTAAACGTACTATTAAAGTTATTTAGAAAATACAACAACTTTAAAAGGCTCTATACTTTTTAAAGCAGGCAACTAACCATCACCAAATTTTGCTTGAAAGTAGAATAGCATGTGGATATGATGTGGAATAAAAATTACGGTTGTGTATGTATGGCTTCCATAAAAAAATTTCCAATAAAGATGATGTATATTTCGTGTCTTCAGAAACATAATTAGACTTTTTGCTGTGCCATAACACATTATTTACTAGTTGCAGATACAAAGATGAAAGTGCAATATTTGAAATCTCCGCATACAAATACATCTTTGTGCAAATTTTGATGGATATACCATGTACGGGTATGAAGTTACAGGTCAAAATGTAAAATAGGGTAATGGTGAATTTAGCACTGGCCACGCCCATTTTTTTGCTTTTCAGGCCATATTCAAATATCTCAAAATACTATTGCAGCTAAGATGCTCAAATTTTGAACTAAACTATTCCCACACAATGTTAACTGCTTGCGAAATATAAAGAAATTTGGAGAGGGTGGGTGTCATGCCTGTGTTGAAATGGCATGGAATTACTGTCCCCCTCACCTAAGCCGGCCTAATTGATTTAACTCTGTGTTAGTGGCCATTATGATCCAAGACAAAAGATCAGCGACATTAGACAAGATTGGTTCAATTGTATATACTGCAGGTACAGTACTAATTGTATTGTATATATTGCAGGTACTAATTGTATGTATTGTATATAATTGTATATATTGCAGGTATTGTATAATTGCAGGTACTTATTCGATATTACATATGTAAAGAACATATGAAAAGTGCAAGCCTTGTTCAAGGGGGTGTAGTGGGTTAATAATTCCTTTGAGTTGGGGAGGGGGTGCGGGATGAGTACTACCTGTATCTTATCAAGACTGAAATAATCTTTGAAATCATTAAATTTTTGCTAACTTCATATAGTATTTGGCATTACTGTGCAATTAAAACACAGCCATTCCTATTAATTTTCATTCCATTTTTAGGGTCATGATCACACCATGCAGTAATGCTATTTTTCCTTATATTCAGATCAGTGTAATTCTAGCCATAATCGGTAGTGTTTGTAATTTTTGGTTTAATATGCATATCCACAGTCATTATAACAACACCTAAAATGTAGGAAATCATGTTTAATTAGGAGACCCAAAGTTCCTGTGCTCCTGTTGCAAAATATGGCTTGTTGTCTTATTCTCTATAAAAGGCATAAAAAAACCTGTGGTTCCGGTTCCCGACCGACCCTATTTTTTCTGCCCACCCTATTATTTTTTCAACACGATTGACCGTGCGACCCTATTTTCTCCAGGTGGTTGCGGGCTGCTCATACAGCGTGCCAAAATGGCACACTAATTATTGAACCAAATTGCCTAAATTCGTCCATAGGAAATACGCATCTCTCGTTATTATTGATGTCGGGACTCTACTGCAAATTGCCCAGCCAGCAAAAATCACCAAAACCATGAAAAAATAATTTTAAAAAAATTATTTCTGACCTACCGACCCTAATTTTTCACGATATGAAACCGGAACCACAGGTATTTTTTACGCCTAAATCACTGCACTGAGATTGATGCCCTCAAGTTCTGAATAATTTTAATACCTTTTCTATCGTATCTCCACCTTTTAACTTCTTTTCACATTTTGCTGCACTGTAATATAAGGTTGATAATTTTATATGTTTTGTGCATCAATGGAGCAAGTGCATTATTAAAAAAAAATTATATCAAATACAAGTATTCGTCCCTGATCGAGTGTTATAGCGTTTTAAATATCCTGCTGACATATAGGCTTGATTACCAGTCAGCATTCGGGAAGCTGGTAATCAAGCCTAGTTGCAGGGACGTCCCTACTGGGGCAATAATTCAAAAATAAGTCAAAGTTAGTCAAAAAGGAAAATATTTGTTTAAAGTTGGTCAAAGTTGCAGGTCCAACTTGGCAACAGCTTGTCCAAGGTTGACAACAAGCTTGGTAAAAATTTTACGCTTAGGTTAGTACGGACATTTTTTTTAAGACATTTCTCCCCCCCTGAGATATTATATTTAGCTATATTGAATATTTATAGAATGTTCTGGAAAATAAAGTGTCTAATTGTCTATAAAAACATCAGTCTCCAACACAAGATGCTGATAATTACATGGAGCACTTTCAACAACCCCAGGGGTTGAACTCAGCCCTGTTAAGGGACTGGTCATAATTTATCAGGGGGGTGCAGAGGTGTAATTCAAAATTTTAAGGAATGATATTTTGTGACCCTGCTTTGACATAACCCAGAAAAATAATGCCCCCCACCCACCTCTCTTGCTCGTGTCAGTAAAATACCTACCTACTGCATTCAAAAAAATAGTAATTACACTTTCAATTTTCTAATTTTCTAGTTGCACTTTAAATCAAGTACTAAAATTTATATTATACCAATACACAGTCATATATAAAACTTTAAAGTCATAGTCATATAAAAGTTTAAAGAATCCATTTTTTTCAAATGAATGCAACTCAAACAAAATGTGAAAAGGCATGTATAAAACAATTAATTGAACTAAAACAGCAGAACCCCTCCCCGCCTTCATAAACTGTCTAATATTTTATGAACCCTCCTTTTCCTTGCTAAAACATATGTGACCCCCCACTGTTTCCACCTCCCCACACTTCCTGCTAAATTATGACCAGTCCCTAACCAAGTTTAAATTTTTGCAATTACATAGACAATTTCAAACCTGGGCTTGAAATGCTATACGTTCCGGCATGGATTCCAGGAAGTAAAAAACTGCTCGATAGCCTCCATTTTGTTTTCTTGTAATAAATAGTCAATACCACACATGCTTGAATATCTCATGAATAATTTCAGCCCCTGTTGAGGGTGAAACAATTACATGACAAAATTTTCAACACAGAGTAGAGTTTAATGAGGGGTTGAAATTTCAACCCTTCTAACTGAAGCCCTGCTGGGCTGAAATTTCAACCCGGTCAACAAGGTGCTCGATGTAATCGGTCCCTAATAAGAATAACATATGTTTTATTTCATATGGAATAACAAAATCAGTTACCGTTGTCGATGGATGCTTTATTATTTAGCATTACTAATTTTGCATTTTCCCATTGATTCTTAACCTGCATTTTTTCAAAGCGATATGCCATGGCTGATGGGGGCCCCTAACTATCGGGGGCCCTTAGTTTTTGAACTTACCCAATTAAATACCTAATGAGTGTCACACCACTGGTAGCGGTAGTGGAAGTCAAATCAGAAGGTTATAAATTCATGTCTCGCTGTTTATGAATGACGAGTCCTTCATCCTTATCCTGACTCTAACCCTAACCGCTGACCCCTAGCTCTTGTACAGCAAGACATGAACCTATATCCAGTCTACACTAGCTATCTTACCTGACCGACAGTAGCAATCTTACTGTAAATCAACGACAAAGAATTACAGTATGCTAACCATACCTGCTATATATGGTTTTATAAGAACAGTCAAGGATTTTCCAACAAGAGTCGGATGACAACTCTTCAATTGCCAATTTGATTGCAGTATCATATAAGTAATGTGCGTGTTTGTATAGCCCCAGCGAGTTTAATAACGCTCTATAGATCGTCTTGTTAATTATTTAATAAAGCTCCCATCCCTGGAAGAATAATTGCACAAACAGAATTTGTTTGCCAAATGTGCTTCATAATAACGCACAAAACATGCTAAAGTATATGTGCAAAAAACATGATTGTGAGAGCTGACTAATTACGGCCGCTACAGACGAGAATATATAGCCAGATTATGGAGGCAGCAAAGAATAGGATTATATGAATATGTTTGTATATAAAAAGTACATATTTTATATACCAATACAAATGTTGTACACATACCTGGAAGATGATGCTGTAGCATCGCCATTTGTAAGTGTGTCCTTAGCCATCTAAGAAAGCAGCTAACTTTGTAAACAATGTTTCCGAACGACAAGTTTTATAACGATTTTAAAGCCAAACCAATGAGCCCAACGTGTTGTTCATTTGATTATAAAAACGATGATAAATTTCCCGCCAAAGAGCGCGAAATTTGCCGGGAATTTCCGACGTTGCAACTCGGCGCGTCTTCGATGGGATGCAAAATAACCAAATCACGAGGTTGTTTCAACTTGTTAATATACTTGTTACCAGTTGTTACCAGTTGTTACCATTCAGCACAGAATTTCTACGGTATTAAACGACGCAAATAATGAAATTTGTTCCGAGGTTTGAATACTCTATACATAATCATATGATATCTCAGGTACAGTAAATGGAATTAATAATCCTTTATATGTTAGAAGATTTACACTACACAATTTTTTCCTGTAAAAAGAGGGTCCTGAAGGGGGGGTCCCAATACCATTTCCCACCTGAAATTTTGGCAAAATCCCAGTCCCAGTTGCATTTTTATTAGAAATCCCAGTCTGAGTTATTGAAATCCCAGTCAATAAAAAACCCTTTATTTATCGGTACAATAAACAGTTTTAAGACTTTTAAATTAATAAGCTGCCGTGTGTGCAAGTGGCGAACACTTTATGAAATATTGTGGGAGCTTCGTGCCAAAGGCACGGAAAATTTTTAAATTTGAATTCCGGAAATGGCATTTGCAGCATTCTGAGACATGCATCATCAGAAAACCCAGAATTTCGGGCGCCAGAGTATGCCTGTTCTCAGGTAGTGCTGTGAATAATATAGTTAACAACAAAAATCATGACCAAAGACACAAAAAACGGATCAAAATTGTATTTTAAAATACTTAAAACGTAGAAAAATTGGGAATCGACTCGCATTACCTCAATCCCATTCCCATTTTTGAGGACTTCGTTTCCCATTCCCAGTGGCCAAATCCCAGTCCCAGCAACCCAAATCCCATTTTCCCAGTCTAAAAATAGATCAATCCCAGTTCCCATTTTACCCCTTCAGGACCCTCTAAAAACTGTCGCGTGCATTATGCAACCTGCTACAACAATATAAAGTTGTACTGTGTATATAAATCAAGCACACTCAGTGATACAACTCACCTTGCAACTGGCCAGATTGCAGAGTTCGTCAAGTTCGCACTCAATATTTTTTTAGGCAGAAATTTCAGCAAACCTGGAGTGTACAGTACTTTATAACATTTTTTTCAATTTAATCAGCCCTCAAATATCTAATTTTCATTGTTTTTAACTATTAAATGTATCTGGCTACTTTTGTGCCCTTGACTTCATCGTGATGTGCAGTTGGGGGAACTGGTTTGCGCCCCAGAACTTCGATTTTCTAACCCACTCTTCGATTTTCTATTGCCCATCTCTGCAGTCTGGGTAATAATAAAGCAGGTTGCATGTGACAGTTTTAGGCAAAGGTTGTGTAGTGTGGTCAGCCTTTTTAAAGTGGTTGATGAATCCTCAGTTTGTAATGTATACATCAGTTCAAACCACAGCCCCCCCCCCCCTGGCATACAGGGGAATTTGACATTCTGAATCGCTATTATGATGGGAGAATATACCTATCACAAAACATAGCAAAGTGCCTGATGTTCAGTAGCGTAGATTTAGTCCCGCTAGCTATGCAAATATTTTTGTGTTCATTGACTGTGAAAACAATCTGTGAAAATAATGTTAAGGCGTAAAAAAAAATACCTGTGTTTCCGGTTTCATATCGTGAAAAAATTAGGGTCGGTAGGCGAATATTTTTTTCATGGTTTTGGCAATTTTTTGCTGGACAATTTGCAGTAGAGTCCCGACATCAGTATTAACTAGAGATGCATATTTCCTCACCCGATTAGCACGTTTGACGCCGGCTGACAGCCGGAAATTTTGTCTCCGATTGCTCGGCTGCCAGCCGGGCTGTATTATAGTATACTATTTGTTCAAAAAATGCGCGCATTCCGGAGACTGGTTCTAGATTGTTTCATAAGCAGAAAACCACCAAAATTACATTAAATTTTCTGAAAATCATCGAAATGCATCTAAATTCATCTTCCCAATGCATACAGTACAGCTAGCTATGCGACAGGTCAATAAACGAGAAAAAAAATTACGGCAAAGAGAAAAATTGAGAACTATCCGCATTCACTCTGAGATTCGAACTCACGACCCTCAGCCTACACGCTGAGTGTTGTTCCCCTGCGCCACCATGTCTTACACGGAAAATATGTTAATTTATTGTATATATACAGTAGGGGTGCACTGGATTTGGAATTTTCAAATCCGGCCGGAACCGGATTTACCGGATTTCGACAAAAGTTCCGGCAGGAATTCCGGCCGGATTTGAGATAAACCGGTAATGGGGACAATTGGGGATAATTCAGTAATCAAAATGACGGTTTATGTTTTTCACTATTTTTAGTTAGTGTGAGTTTAGATTTTTGATTGTGTTTAAACCTTTTTTAAACATCTTTTTGTTAATAACTTAATATTTTATAATAATATAAGGGTTTTTTAACTTTAAAGCTGCCAAATTGATGGTTTATCCCATTCTTGGTGAATTTTTTAAGGCGAAAACAGAAATTTAAATCCGGCCGGAATTCCGGCCGGATTTGAAATCCGGTGCACCCCTAATATACAGGTTATTCTTAGCCAGCGCGATTTATGATTGTGTAAATATGTGCACCATTGTACACGGCCAAGGGTACAGTACCAGCGGAGCCGTATCTACTCTTTAATACGATATTTACAATACATCACGGCATAGATCACAGCTACCAGCTGGGGTTATTTAACTGTAATACAATACTACAATGCAGTACGACTGTCAGCCAAGCCTGCAAGTAGTATACTATAGTATACTACAATACATCACGGCTACCAGCCGGCAATACGGCTATCAGCCGGGCATGTCTGCAGTATACTATACTATAGGACCTATAGTGTACTGCAAAACATCACAGCTACCTGCCGGGGTTATTTAACTCTAATACAATACTATAATGCAATACGACTGTCAGCCAAGCCTGCCTGTAGTATACTACAATACATCACGGCTACCAGCCGGCAATACGGCTATCAGCCGGGCGTGTCTGTAGTATACTATAGTATACTACAAAACATCAC